ATAGAAGAGTTTGTTGAATCTGACGTGACATGTTCGTACGAACCCTTTGTACGAACAAAAGTAAGAGAAATTTAGGATAAGAATACGAACATGTTCTTGCTTGAGGCCCATTGTGTGGCCCAGCTCTGGCCCACACAATGTTCCAACACTCAGTCCAGATAATGCAATGAATGACGGCCCTTTGGTGGCCCAGGTGTGGTTTGCCAGCACCACATAAACCAAACCACAACTGGGACAGTTGAGGTACACCATAGCACCATTTGTGGGCTATTTGTCTGTCAGCAAAATCCCTCATGAACCACTGGCCAGATTTTAATGAAACTTTTCACAACATAATTCAAGATGGCTGCCACCTTTCATCAGCACAAAAACAAGTCATCTCTCGACATGAGATGATCTCAGTTTAAAGAATAAAATTTTTTTTAAAGATGAAAGTTTGGAGATGAGGCATGTTTCTGAACTGGCCCGTGGTGGAAAATCTGTTCTAACACAAAACATAAAGCTGGTTTAAAAAAGTAGAAGCAGCAGACGATTGATTTGAAACAGTTTGTTTTTGTCGCTGCAGGCCACAAACCAATAAACAGAAATTCTCTGTATTTGCATATTTCCCTGCAGCGAGACATATGCTGCTTTTATTTTTTAATGTCTTGTCTGCTTGCTTCTGTAGAATTAAGCAGCCCTAAAAACTGTTATTAATGTAAGTTTTGGAGCCTGCGAGCAGCTCGTAAAGCTGTTACTTTGTTTTCATTATGACCGATGTCTCGACACAGCTCCAACTATCCAGGAAGTAAACGCCGGCCTTCGGCAAGGAGTTTCTCTTTCTTCTCAGAGCAAGGTCGCACAAAAAGAATCTCCTGCAAACTTTTTCATTTTCTCTCTCCTGCGTGTGCGATGATGGCGTTTTATTACGCTGAGTCATTAGCATATCTCATATCCTGCTGCTGAGCAGTTCCCGCTCTCCATCCGTCTCCACAGACGCAGGTGCTTACTCAGGACGGCGTGGTGAGAAATGAACAAAAACACAGGCGGGAGGTAAACAGACCAAACAAACGCTGCTGATCAGTCAAAGGGACGAGTGTTAAAGCCCGTTATAATCTTTTTAAATGAATGCTAACAAGAGCGTCGATTCATCAAATGTTTGACAAGTGCTTCGTGTCCTTCAAACACAGAAGTAGCTCTTCTAAACACTCGGATCAACACAGGAGGATGGTTTCTACAGTCATCAGCAGCACCGAGTCCCTCCTGACTCGTCGTGGGTCACAGCTGAGAGTTCAGACAGTGGAAGGAGGGAGAAGATGAAAGTGGAGCTGAGCAGCTAGCTCTGTCTTCACGCTGCTTCTGTCAGGCTCACCGGAGGGACAGTTGATAGGTGTGGGCTCACACACACACACACACACACACAACCTTGTAATTCTATCCTTATTAGGACCGTTTATTGACTTCCGTTCATTTCCAGTTATTTCTGTAGTCTGACCCTAGCTTAGTTTTCCAATCTTTTGTTTCCTTCTCATTTATTTTAATTCTTAACTGCTTATCTTAGCTTTAATTTTCCTGCTTCTGTTCTGTTTCTGTTAGCTTCTCTAAGCTTTCGGTGTGCTCCATCAACAATGTTTCCACTATTTGGTCTGTTTCAGGTCTGAAGCACTGAATGCTGGCTCAGCTTGGCTCGGCCTTTTATCATCTTCTATAAACGTTTTCTAACCTAAACCTAAACCCAACCAACCACCCCCTACAAAACAAACCCTAAACCTGAACTCAGTTCATATCTTAGTCCTAATCCCTAACCAAAAAATGTTATTCCACCATTTTAGGACCAGTCCTTGGTCCCCAAAAGGGCCGTCAGTCCTGACAAGTTAGGTATTTCTACCACAAACGGTCCTAAAAAGGTAACATAAACCAGGAACACACACACACAGACCCTGAGAAACGAGTGTAGACACACAATGTTCAGAGAGAAGAGCAGCAGCAATAATGAGATTTCACTTCAAAGCAGTGAGCGGTGGAGTCAGAGGGAAACAGTGCTGACGTGTGATTGGCTGCTTAAATGAGCAGGTGAGGAGCTGCAGGACATGTGATCGCTATCTCACGTCGGGGCTCTGAACGGTGGGCTTGTGGAGCACTTTACAGCTCTGCATGTGCTGGTGGGTGGAGGGGTTTAACTGAATGTCATTCCTCCAGTAAGAATTATTTATCCCAGCTGATGTCACAGGAAGCTAAAAACAGAAATGTTCGCAGTTAAAGCACAGCTGCTGCGGCACGGTGGTGCAGCGGGTAAGGCTGTTGCAATTTCAGTAAACTAACATTTCCAAATGTTGTTCCTTTTCTCCACCAATGAAACCAAGTTCACCATTTTCCTAAAAAGAATTACACCAAACGCACCTCCAATTCAAATGTCAAAACATTTATTTTAAACTTTCTCCATCAAATAGAGACAAGCCTCAAATATAAATGAACGTTTGTCCAAGACAAGCAAATGTGTTGAAATTTATTGGAGGTCCGAAACAGACAATTTAAATTAAAAATATATATATTTAGAAAAAGCACCAAAAAATAAACACTTAAAATGCATCAATTAATTTTAAAAATAATTTTACCTAATGTTTTATAATTTAATTGGCCTTCTGTAATGACCATATTTATTATTCCACCTTAGTTCCAACAAATTATATATTTTAGCACAATTTACATTTTATCATTTAAAATTTTTTTACCTTTTACTTGTAGATGCTTTTGTCTCTTAAATGTTGATTTTTTAAATAATATTTTCACCACAAGTCTTTATATTTCCATGTGCTGTTTTTAAAATTTTTCTGTCTCCTGTTTTTACTTTACCTTATGCATTTCTGACTCATTATGCAAATAAGGTGGCCGGTGACATAATTTCTCTAAGTTTACTAAAGTCAGCTGGCTGTGGCGGCCATCTTAAGGGGGGCTGTCCTTCTTGGGTCAGCTCCTCAACGATTGGTCAACAGATCAGGGGTCTCATTTATAAAGGATTGCGTGGAAA